TTTTGGAATTAGAATTAATTATGGGGTAAAATTTTAGTTCAATTGTAGTTTGGTAGTTTTGAGATTTTAAGTTTTGGTTTTTAGCTTTTGGTTTTCCTTTTTAAATATCAGTGGTCAATTCAAATCATCTCTATCATTTACGAACTAAGCCAATTTGATACAAATGTAATACTTGATATAACTCAAATCTATTTCTAATTTAAACCAAATTTTAGTTGTAAATCAGAAATAGGTTTAGACTAGATTATATCTTCTAGAAATAGAATTCTCCCCACAAAGGCACTGCGTCCACGCGTGTACATTTCACCTTGACACTCGTTGAGAGTGAACTTTTTTTCGTCTTGCAAAGTACATATAATCTGTATACGATGTCATGAAATTACATATTATTCATTAGATTTTTTTTATTTATAACTTTTTAATAAACACAAGGACTGTCGTCTAAAATTTTCGCAGCATTATTCACTTTAATAATATATGTGACAATTATTGAAATCGGGAAATGGTCTCTATAAGTAAATAATTACATGAAAATATATTCTATATGTAATATTACTAGATGATTTTACAATAACATTGCATTCTTTCAAATATATATTACACTGCAATGTTGCTATAATTTTTCATTGCAATATTACAAAGAGCGAATATCTTAACGTTGGGACAATCTTACAACTATGACTCAGCAGAGTTACGCAATTGATTTACAATATTACAATGTTTCAATTATTCTGCAATATGTATGCAACTTTTTTCTATGTTATATGGATTATTTATGTTAAAAAATATGCAAATTCCATATGCAAAACATCAGAACCTCTGTCATATATAGATAATTACTATAAGTGTCTAGGTTCTCGTGCCACCCCTTATTATCATATATCATTTATATATACCATTTATTATTTGAATATCTTATATCCTATGATATTTTTAATACAATAGATGTAGTAGGGATATAGTGCCGTCATAGAAAAATCCGCGTGCTATGGATATTTGTAGTGTGACTTCAGAAAAATGATAGTTTTATTTTTTTGTTAACAAATTAACTATATTAAATAAATTATAAGTGAGTTATTTTACAAAATTCTTCTAAAGAATACAATTCTCTATAAAAATACATATTTCCCGAATAAGATCAGTCTTCGGAATTTCAGCTCCGTATTTTTTAAATGAATGACAATGTAAATCTTTGCAGATTCGAATGCAATCATAAGAGCAAATAATTTTTATCTCTAATAATTAGAAACTTGGCTCAAATAATCAAAAAATCAAAAAGAAAATGTTATAAGAGCCAAAGCGGTAGTTGGTGCACAGAGAAACAACACACTTTTTTCTTTTTTCAATATTAGTTGATTAAAAAACACATTATAATAACAAAAAGCGAACGTTTCGGATTATCTTTTGATCCTTCTTCAGCGCGATGTCAACAATATATATATCAATCTCGACAAATAAATCATTTTCTCAATTTTTTATGTTATGATTCCCCCTGCCTCAGGAGTCAAAAATCCCTAAAAATTATACTTTTAAATCGATCATCAAATAGAATAGATTATTTCTTTCTTTTTTTTGTTCTAATCTTCCTGCTTCTCAAGAAAATTGAAAATTAAAAGTTATTAAAGAGTATAGCCATTAAACAAATCTTACAAATTAAAAAAATACACCAAGTACGTTAAAAAAATCTAAAAAGATAATAAAAATGAAAAATTTTAACAACTGATATGAGATTAATATAATTAGCCAAGTATAATAAATTATGTGTTATTAATTTAATCTAAATTTAATTTAATTTATTTTAATTTATGTGTAATTAATTTTATATTAATTGTAATCGAAATACTAAATGTATTAAGATTCCTTTAATTTCTAAAGCATTATTTATATAATGTATTTTAAAGCATTATTTATATAATGTATATAATTAAAAAAAAGCAAATTTGAATCGCATAAATGGCCTTCTATTGTATTAATGTTATATCAGTTTAAAAAATTTTTCTTTTTTATTATCTTTTTAGATTTTTATTTGATGTATCTTTTTGATGTATCTTCGTGAAGTTTTTTTTTAGTGAAATGTCATTGCTTCTGTAAAAATTTATATTTATTTATATTTATTATTATATATAAATATATATAATAATTATATATAATAATTATATACTATATTATTACATATTTAAATATAATAATATAATACAATAATAAATAAATATAAATAAAAACATAATAAATATAAATATATATAAACTTAAATATAATAATAAATATATAAATGAATTTAATAATATGTTATATCTTTTTAAATATAGAAGATAATCGAAACATCGATGCATCATAGATAGAAATGATTGCTTGAATGATTGTTTGAGCTCCGATTAATTAAACAATCGCTGATGTTTTGTGAAAAAATTATTTAGAGCTAATTTTTGACTTCTTGTGCTCTTGGGCTTCGGAGTTAAAAAATGAAAGTATCATTCGACTCCTTTCATTAAGAACAATTTTTGGTATAAATATCAAAAAAATCGAGGAAAAGGGAAATACTCTCCCATAAAAAAAGAAATATATATATGTCTGTGTGTATATGTATATATATCTTATATATGTATATATGCACATATAAATATACAAGAAAAAATTTCCTATATACAATTATATATAAATTTATATATGATTTTATATGGATAACTTTTTCTTTTAAATCTTTAAATATTACTTTAAAAAATAAGCAATGTAAAAAAATTATTTATCTAATTATTTTTTAATCAGTCTTATTATTTTTCCTATATACATACGGATAAAGATTATAAAAAAAATATGGACATATAGATATATTTCATGTCTATATATTTTTTTTCTTTTGTATATCTTTGCCTATACATGTAATTTCTCGGTATACTGTTTAATTAATGCAATATAATTACCAGTTATAATTTCAATTTTTATACATATATATACACACACACACACATATATATATACACATACATATATATATTTTATATATATTTTATATATATATATATATATATATATATATATATATATGCATATACATACTATCTTTACATAATCATTTGTCATTAATCGAATCATTCGATTAGTCGAAATACATATAACTCCAAACACAGTTATATACGCAGTTCGAGTCAAGTCACTCATTAACTATACCGTTATGTTTGTTTGGTCCGTTATAACTGCCAAACCAGCCAAGTATTACCTGTGCGAATTTCTTGGCGAGTTTATATAATATATGACAAACATGATACTAATATTTACTATTTTTGCACTAAATTTTTATTTAAAAACGACTATAAATTATCATCGTAAATAAATTTTATCTAAAACGTCGGTTATTAATATGTTGCGATGCGGAAACATTCATGCAATTTAATCAGATACGTTTTAAAAAAAATAAATGTTCAAGCATGTTGCAAATTGCGGATGCGGATTTCAGAAATTGTAAAAATATAATACTATGTACAAAAATGTATACAAAAATTTTATAAATTTATCGCTAAATTGTATAATAGAAATTTATATTAACATACATATACACACAATATATATATTCACATATCAAACAATCTAAATATCAAATAATAAAAAAAATTAATGTAATTTTAAAAAATTTAATAATTAAGGAGGAAAACAAGAATGTAATGCAAAATTAATCCAATATATTTAAATTTTTAAATATCAGGAAAGGAAAATTTAATAATTTTACATATTGAGAAAAAGAAATATTTTATCTTTTTATCATCAAATAAATATTATATTTAATTATACAAATATTTAAATTTCTTAACAAATTTTTTAAATATATTTAATTATTCTTATATTTTCAGAAAAGTTAATACACAATTAAGAAAATTAAGATATTTTGAAATTTTAAATGGACAATTTCGTAATAGATAATGATGTACATGTATTTATATAACTTTATGAAATGTAATTTAACATAAATAATTTCCTTTTTAATTTTATATAATAAATGAAAAAGATTTTAAGAAATTCCAGAAAATCTTCTGGAGGTCATTAACTTATTTATATTTTCTACGAGAGTCACAGAATCAAGTTCAGTCACTCTTAACAATTTTATAAGATAATGTATTCACTGGTGAGATTAGATATGCAGGAATTTCTGCCGTTCGTTGACGATGTGTGTCCACGCACCTGTAAATGATATACAGTTACAATTAACAATAACGAAAGTTCAACTATTGTTATTTTTTAAAAGATTTTCTATAATATTGCTGCCATAGAATATGAAATAATATTGTCCAATCAATACATATAGATTTATATATTTTATCGTATATTTAAAATGGTTAGTTCTTTTTTTTCTTTTATTGGAGCCTAAGTTATAATTATAATTCACAATTTGGGAAAATTATATTTTCAAATATTTCTATACTTGTCTGTTTTTCATGCTTTTGAAATGAATCTCTTCATAATATTTTTATTATTTTTTTTATAATTAACCAAAATGTAATATATAAATTATAAAAAAATTTATGTGTCTATAAATCTAAACCTTAGTAAATGCAAATTAATTGACTTGAAATATATCAAAGTAAATCTAAAATATAATAATATCATAAAATTTACAAAGGTGTTTTATGTTTCTATGAAAAAATACATTTATGAGAAAAAAAAATTTCTTAAATTTAAATTTCTTTAAATTTCTTAATTTTTATTATTATCTTTAATTTTTCTTTTTCCTTTGAAAGTAATTTTTAGATTTATATTATTTTTAGATTTATTAGTTTACGTTTTACAAAAAATTCTTTCTTGATTAATGTAAATTAAACTAACATTATATTATATATAACATTACATTATATTATACTAATTTAGCTTTATATTTTTATAAATAAGTTAATTCTAAATGTCTAATTTAAATTAAATAAAAAAAATTGATTCATATCAATTTAATTTTATCGCATGTAAATCAAATTGCAATATATGCCTAAATATTTTGTATGATTTTGTGTTCATAGGATTTTTAACTTCTTTAACGAGCACGGCGAAAATCGCCGATTGTCCAGGAGTATGTGTACATGCATTAGCAACGTTAATGTGCGACGATGTCCTCGAAGACGTGCAATGTCCCACGACGAGTATGCGATGTTGCCTACAAGATGTAATAAACGGCACAGGATCTTCCGAAAATATTATCGATGATGAAGGATCGATCTCTGCCGAACCCATCACAACAATCAAAAATACTATAACTTCTACGACGACTCCCACAACAACTACCGCGATAACTGGCACATCGACTTCCGCCACTTCAATAAAAACTATGCTGGTATGTTCAATAGATGTGATATTAGAAAATAAGTTGACTTATTAACTGTTGAAGAAATTTATTGTTTCAAAAGTAAGATATATTGTTGTTAATATTGCGAGTTAATTATTTCGAAAATTATGTTCATAAATAAATAAGATCAATTGAGAAAATTACAATAATCACTTTTGCTTTTTTTATCAAATTATAGATTTTAAAACGGCTTATTAATTACTATATATTTTTTGTATTCAAAATTGCTATATATCATATTTTATATTTATACATTCTTGTTGTATGTTACAGGAAAATCATAATGAGACGAGTGAAAAATCATCCAGTACGTAGATGTTTCGTAAAATATATCTCTTTATTTTGATATAATTGCATTTCTTCTAGTATAGTTGAATTTTTATGTAGTTATGTAACTTGCTTTGCCTTAATTTAATATATAAAGTGCTCCAAAACACTCTTGATAAGGTTCACATTCATGAAAAAATAGAGCGCAAAAACAGAACAGAAAATTTTTTTGCAATTTTTGCAAAAATTATTGAAATATTAATTAAAAAGAACTAACGAATAAGCGCACGTTTCGCATAGCTAGAGTATAAAATGTATGCTTTAGATGTGTCAACATCGAATATTATATAATTTTGTATAGTGAACAAAAAAAGAATGTCTTTAATTATAAAAGATACGTTGACATTATTAATTATATTGTAAAATTACATTTACAATACTCATTTTCAGTGAAAACATGTTCGGGTATCTGTATGTCCGAGAGAATCGCAGATTATTGTGATGCTGTGTTGATAATAGAAACACTTTGTAAGCCGGGTTACAAGTGTTGCGTGTCCAGGGATGCTTTTGGGGATTTCCCACCGCCTGAACTCTTGGTGATCGATCGTACAAATTCTTCTCGTTATGACGAAAAAAACGGCAGCGGAGTTTTCAGCGAAGTTTCGTCTCCATCAACAACAATGAAATCAAACATATCGTTAACTGATGCTTCTGCTACCGCCATCGCTACAATGGTGACAACATTGACGACAACAACACCGACAATGATCACCAAACAACCGTCAACGACAACAATGATAACGAGGCCGACATTGCCACCGAAACTATGCAAAGGAAAGTGTACGAATGTACTATCCGCAATCTTTTGTAATAGCATTGATGAAGATGCAGAATGTCCTGCTGATGGATCCGTGTTGACAGTTTGTTGCACCAATGAACCGCCACCGGAAAAAACAGTAATATAATAATTTAATATTTAATATTTAATTAACAGTAATTTAATATTTAATCAATGTAGCTCATTTTGATAAGCGATAAATTATCATGAACGTTAACTTACGATAAATAACGAATACTAGCAATGTAAAATATATGAAATGTATTATTTTGCTTAGGAAACAACAACGACGATTCGACCGTCCACAAAAAGTCCTCAACCGAAGTTACCACCGTGTCCTGGCTTTTGCCTCATGATAATTATGGCAGCTTTTTGCGAGCGGCCAAACGTGATCATAGCTAAAACATCGACCTGTCAATCCGGCTTTATCTGTTGTGATAAAACTACAAAAAGTCCACCACAGGTAATTCGCTTTCTTATACAGAATCACTTCTATCTATCGTACGAATGATTGTACAGTTTAATAAAAAAATTACAGGACCAAGAATAATCACTTTCTATGGTGCTAAATATTATTTTCATTATTAAACTGCTCCATCGTATCATAATTTCTCAACATACTTAATTTTGATTACAACAAAACAGCTTCACATTACGTATTATAACGGTAATAATACAAATTATCTTATAATTTAAAGCATATTAAAAAACTTTTATAATTTAAAATACATTAAAATACTTTTCTCTTACAATTTTAATTATAAATTTGAAAAATTGTAACATGGTGAAGTAATTCAAAAATCGAAATCATATATTCACTCAGTTTAAAAAGTCAGTCTGAGAAGTGATTAAGTCTGTTTTTGAGTTCAAATAAAATTATTTATTATATATAATTGTGTTAATTATTACTCGATTTATAAAAATAATATGCAATCTCTTTACAGAAAAATGTATAAGTAATAAAATAAAATGTTGGCTTTTTAATTATTTAGACGCAGAAACCAAAGCCGAGACCTACCTCGCGAATACCGACGACCATATCGTTACCACCGGATCCACGCTCGGAATGTCCTGGTTCCTGTATTGTATCTTATTTATCGTTTACTTGCTTCAGTAAGTAATAAGCAGATGAAAAATGTTAATCTCGTATTTTAAACAAAATATATCATAATATTATATTTATACATATGATTACAGGAAATGCCGAGCTGACAAATTTATTCAAGTGCAAAAAACAGGGATATCAATGCTGTGCGCCGAAATCTTTGATAAGAGAATTGAATGGTGAAAATTCCACAGAACCAATTCTGACTAATAGAAATGATACGTTCCATGTTACTTCCCGACCTTACACAACCCCATTAACCACATCGATCTGTAAGCAATTTTTTCGATCTTATTTATGGTTACTTCATAAAATTATAAAATTATTAAAATTAAAAATCATCGAGGGAATAGATATAATTAATTTCAATTAAAATTAACTTAAATCATCTAATCATATCATGACTTAAAATCTAAATATAATAAAAAATCGTCAATTTTATAGATGAAACAACAACGATTGCTACTACTACCAAAAGTCCAGTGTACAGTAAATATGTTTGTGGCGTGAAGGGAACTTCTCGCGGACCGATTCAAGCCCGAAGTTCCGAGAGAGTTGCGCGTGTCGTAGGTGGTGAAGATGCAGACGCTAATGAATGGTGTTGGCAGGTCGCGTTGATAAATTCCCTTAATCAATATTTATGCGGAGGAGCATTAATAGGTACGCAGTGGGTCCTCACTGCAGCGCATTGTGTGACAAAGTGAGTAAATATGCACATACAATCTTTCTATATTCTTATGATTTAAGATTAAATTTTCTTGAATGGAAAGGAAACAAATTAGGTAGAAAATAACATTTTTAAATCAAAGATTATAATTTTCTTAAAGTAGAAAACGAAAGATGAAGCAACAAAGTAAAAAATGCATTCGTTTCTAGCATTGTGAGATCCGGCGATGCGATTTATGTGAGGGTAGGCGATCACGATCTGACTCGTAAATATGGAAGCCCTGGTGCCCAAACCTTGCGCGTCGCAACGACTTATATTCATCATAATCATAACAGTCAGACGCTCGATAATGATATCGCTTTGCTAAAACTTCACGGTCAAACAGAATTAAAGGATGGAGTTTGTTTAGTTTGTTTGCCGGCACGAGGTGTCAGTCATACAGCTGGCAAAAGATGTACAGTTACTGGTTATGGATATATGGGAGAATGTAAGTTTTTTACATACACAAAAAAAAGACATTCTCGTTTTGAAAATATCTTTAGTTTTAACATGGAAATCTTGAAATGAAATTATATCGCGTTAATTAAAGAAAAATATAATTGCTTGAATAATTGCTTGCTTGAATGAAGCATTTTATATAGTTCAATTAAGAAAAATATATTCTTATGATTTAAGATTTAATTTTCTTGAATGGAAAGGAAACAATGTTAAATAAAAAATAACATTTTTAAATCAAAGATTATAATTTTCTTAAAGTAGAATTAAATAATTATATATTCTTGAGATGACAATTACTATCTTGAAATAAGATTATAATATTGTTAAAATTTAAAATTATTAAATTCTTCTAAAAAGATTATAAATTGTTGCATGTATATGAAACAATGAACATTAATTTAAGTATATAAGTTTTGATTTGATATTTAGAGAAAACAATGTTAGATAGAAAATAACATTTTTAAATCACAGATTATAATTTTCTTAAAGTAGAATTAAATAATTAGATATTCTTGAGGTGACAATTACAATATTAAAATAAAACTATAATATCGTTGAAATTTAAAATTATTAAAGTTATTAAATATTGTTGGAATTTAAAATTATTAAATTCTTCTAAAAAGATTATAAATTGTTGCATGTATATGAAACAATGAACGTTAATTTAAGTATATAAGTTTTGATTTGATATTTATTTTTTTCTATATTTCTTTTCTAAAGAATGAGTATCAATAATATCAATAATATATATATAACATTTATATATTACTGTTACAAAACAATGTTGTACAATACATGGATGTTTTATATAGCCGGCCCTATTCCTCTTCGAGTTCGCGAAGCAGAAATACCCATTGTAAGTGATGCTGAATGCATAAGAAAAGTGAACGCCGTAACCGAGAAGATTTTTATTTTACCGGCTAGTAGTTTCTGTGCCGGTGGTGAGCAAGGAAATGATGCATGTCAGGTATATATTGATTATTTTATAATTGAAAGAGAATATTCGATATGTAAATATTTAACATTATTAAAATACAATTGTTTTTAGTCCAAGATTTTTTGCGAAAACTATTTAAAGAGCATGCATGCAAAACTCAACATGTTCAAAAAAGTCGAAAAGATAAGAAATTCCAAGCATTATTAAAAAAAATTAGCATCAATGTTATATCACTAATTTAAAATAAATTCTCTTTTTCTCTATATTAAGCTGTAAGGACTTGTTGAGTTCTGATACATGCTTTTTATTTGAGAAGTAGATGTAGGACTTTTATTAATATTACACTTATTGATATTCAGGGCGACGGAGGCGGTCCTTTGGTATGTCAAGATGATGGCTTCTATGAGCTTGTCGGATTAGTATCTTGGGGATTCGGTTGCGGTCGCCAAAATGTACCAGGCGTATACGTGAAAGTTTCCTCGTATATTGGTTGGATAAATCAGATAATATCGGTAAATAATCTGTAATTACTTTGTATGACGATCGCGTCGAACACATATCTGATTTACATACGTTTATTACTGATGGAATGTTTTATCTTCACGTTTGAGTAGACTATGCTATATATGCACGATAGAGGCATAGCAAAGCAATAATTTATAGACATTTGAAGATAAACTCGGCATTCGCTGTATATATCTCTATCTGGCATTATAAACATGTATACTCATGATATATTATTTCGTATACTCATGATATATTATTTTGTAATCCATTGACATTGGCTATGTATTCCAAAGAGAGATATATCTTGAAAGATGAAGAAAAAGAGAAAGAAATAAAAAGAGAAAAAGAAAATCTTATTTCCTTTTTTATCTGCAAAAATTAGATACACAAATGCCCGTTATTAATTATTGATATTTTATTACAAGAAATATGATATATTTATAGTAATTTCCAGCTAAGATTAATTTTTATTTCAATTGTAAGATGATAGATTATTCTTTTTATTTATTGAATGAACAAACATAAAATTTTAGCTTTTATCTTTATTTTATATTTATTTAATCTACCTTTTATCTCTCTCTCTCTCTCTCTCTCTCTCTCTCTCTCTCTCTCTCTCTATTTCCTTCCTCTCTCTTTTCTCCCTCTCTCTTTCAAGTATAAATCGAATTATAGGAATCTAAAATAATAAATTATACTTTATCATGGACGAAATATATTTGATTGCATATATTAAAGAAGTAATTATTGTTTGTATAGATAACAAAATAATCTACTTTTCGATGGTTAAAATATGGAACCAAATATTCGAATAATTAGCATAACAAAAAGTTCTACATAATCATTTAATAATTAATTTGTAATAAATAATTTTAATTTAAATAACTTAAAATATTCTTTTACAATTTAATATTTAATATATTGTATATGAATATACGTTACAGTACGTAAAATATTTCGGCAACGAATTTTCAATAACATGGCATGTCAAGGGCTTGACAATGTAAACAAGTGTTAGAGGAGAGCGCGCTATTATTTCTGTAGCACAACCTTGTTATTATTCGAACGACGACATTCGAGCAGTGAAGTAGTCGTACGAAACGTTTTCTTATAATTGTTAGATTCTTTTATAAACGCGTACAAATTTAAATATAATTAGCTATGATTATTAATTAATAATTAATTAATTTTTGATAAACAATATGAAAATATTGTATCGCGACGATAAATCTTTATAAAAGGGCAATCATTCGTTATTATTATAAGTAAAAATTGAAACAAAAGGAATAGAAAACTTTCGTTACGGTTTTTCATTTATCGATTCTTATGAATAATTATTTATTTAATAATATTTACGTTAGAATCAAATATACGATACTTTAAATTTTTATAAAATGGGAAAAAACAAATAAATTATTAATTAAACGATTGCTATATCACAATTTTATTTATTTTAATTTTTTATTTATTCATTACTTTATCATTCATTAATTTAATACATAACATATATCAATAGTAGTAATACGCATACTATGCTGTAGCAAATAGCGCGTGATTTTGGTCTCATATAAATATCGTATTGCTCTTTTATGATATAATATAGTGCATATTTCGTGTGATCATTTCGCGATCGAGAGTCTCGTGCAAAGTGTCTCTGTTATATTCGATTAATCATAATTAAATCGTATTTTCGTGAGTGAATAAGTGCTACGAGAGGAAACAACGGCCACGAGCAAACAATGAAGGATGTAAAAAAAAAGAAAAAAAAGTCTGGAAAAGCATCAGGCAATGTACGGATACACATATGCAGTAAGTAATTTATGCAAATTATTTGTCATATTTATTATTACTTTCAAAATGGATATTTATTTACTAATTTTAAAATGAATTGCTTGTTTTTTTTTTCATTTTGTCTAGTCTGCAGTGATTTACATTTTAAATTATCGGATAATATAACGTATATATAAAACATTTCAGATTTCAATTTTAAATTTTATTTTAATTTTAAATATCTATATCTCCTAGAAATTATCTATAATTGTCTTTTTTCTAGGAGAAAATAATAATAAATAATTGCAATGACCGTTTTAACAAATACAATTCAATTGATTGAATTTTATATAATTTATCTTTTTTATTTTCTACCACGAAAATAACATAATATACAATATCCTACACATGTATATTACATAAACTTATTTCATTAATAGCATATATTGATGTTTATAATATATGCTTAAAAGAAAAAGAGAGAAATCGTGCTAACAAAGTATATTAATTACACCTATATGCAATTAATATATTTAGAAATGCGAGTCGTTCTGATCCAGAGAGAAGACTGAGAGGTGTCATGGGTCATGGCCTGCTTTTAGGTGATTCCTTTTAGGAAAATATTTATTTCATCTTTGAATATTACAGTATCTTTCGCGATTGAATAATTTATTTACTATCAATTTACTATCAATTTACATACATAAATATCTTGTTATACAGCACCGGTTACCGGCATTTTGTGCACATAGTACGGAACAAAACCAGAAATTGTACACATTATATATTACCCTCTGAGAACATTCATGGACATTGGCTTTGTAGTTCATGTCGACATTTCAATGTCCATAGAGGGAGTATCACTTTCAGGGATCACCTAAAAGCAGGCCATGACATCTCTCAGTCTTCTCTCTGGTTCCATGAAAAATGACAGCGCCCCTTCAGGCTTCTTTCTGACAGAACAAACCTAGGAATCGAACGTGATTGGCTCTTACTTTTAGAACCAACAAATCAACATCGGATGTTGACAAGACGATTCTTGTTCTCCTAAAGACGGCCATTGCTTTTCGTCAGCACATTCGGCAAGGTTCCCTTTGCTACATTTGGCTAACAGACAATTATTACACCAATTTGACGTACTTCACAAGGTATATCTAAAAATATTTATTTTGTATTTAATTTTTTTTAGCTCGTACTAATCAATATCGCAACAAAAAATATGAATTTACAAATATTAACTTGCCAATCGTGATATGCACATGGCATAAATCAAGATAAAATATAATGTGCAAAACGCTTAAATTTTGAAGAAAAAAAATCAAAATAATCAATCTATTGAAATCTAAGTTATCAGTTTTTTGTTTTAATTTTAAGCGATTTAAAATTACATATGTGTGTGTGTATGTGTGTATGTGTGTATGTTAAAAAAATCAATTCTAGCGAATTTCCAAAAAACTGAAATATTTTTATAGAATCACTGATTATTTTCTGAGGAGATATGTATATATCATTTTATGCAATTGCTAATTTTATAAATCACTAATTTTACAATAATTGCCGTGAATTGGTTGATGCTATTTCATTACTTTCACTATATATTATTTTATTCAAATATAATTATGAAAGTTGTTTTAGTAAAATTTACAATTTTTCATAAAATATCTATCTGTACTATCTCAAAAAAAACATTAATTTTGATATTACATAATTAAATTTGCAAAAAAAAATTAAAAATCTTTATATAACATTGTGTTACAATACTTGTTATTTAGTTTGGATGAGTTATGAAAATAATTTAAACTAGTGCTTAACATTATAAAAAAAATTATGACTTGTTAAGACAATTTCATTTTTAATATTAAAATATTTATTATATCAATAAAGTAAACACAGTTGTAATATATATTTAATAATATATTTCATCAATATATTTCATCAATATATTTATAAGCCAGCATCAGACTGTATTGAAGAAAAAAAATTGCTCGATGAAGACAAAAAACTTTTCGATTAAATCCTACTTTTCAATTTCAAGTAAATGTATAGTTTTTTTTTATATCGATTTTAATGTATTTTAGTAATATAATGATTTATTTAAAGATGAATTAGAAAGATGTACAGTTTTTAGAATAGAGAAGATTACAAAAATTTCTGAAGAATATTATATAAATTTTGAAATGTAAGAAATAGTATATAATTTTATGTAAAGTCTAAATGTAACTATATATAATAGAAAACCTATATAAACAAGAAAAATTCAAATCACACACATACACACAGTAATATATTTGAAAATCTATGTTGATCTGCAACTTACTTTTACCATATAATATGTAACGATATTACATAATATATCACTTTAAAAGGATAAAAAATCTATTCACATTCATATTATGAATAGAATATAATATTTCATATTGTTCTAAAATATATTTCTACTATATTATGCACATTATGAATAGAAAATAATACTTAATATTGTTGCTCTAAAATATTAAAAAACTGTTAACTGTTTTTTTTATAGAAAATACTTTACAAAAATATAATTAAGCATAGATAAGAAATAATTAAGTAAATTTATATAGTATCCTTGCATAGGATTGGTTGATGCCTGGTTTCTTCATTACAGGGATTCTTTTTATACATCAGAATGTCAACGTTTTTTGGACTTATCGAAGAAATACCAGGCATCTCAGTGGATCGTTTTGATGGAGAAAATTTAAACTCTTCTGCATATTTTCTTAGTCATTGCCACACCGATCATATGCAAGGCATAAATTATCAATTTTTCAAACATTTGCAGCAATATAATAAATATCTTTATTGTAGTCGTATTAGTAAACTTTTCTTAAAAGCTAAAGATTATTACATAGAAAGCTGTGTAAAAGATCTTTCTCTTAATATAAAAGTCTGTATAGAATATAAAAACAAAGATAATGATAAAAATATTCTTTTTGTAACATGTATTTCTGCTGGGCATTGTCCTGGTTCTGTGATGTTTCTCTTTGAGACTGATAAATTAGTATTATACACTGGAGATTTCAGAATTAATCCAGAAGATTATAAAAAAATAGCATCATTGCATTCATACGAAAATTACAATGTGCATCCAAAAAAACTAGCAAAGATGTATTTAGATACAACATTCTTGGATTCTAATTTTCGCTCTTTCCCAACAAGAAAAGAAAGTATTAAAAAGATTTGTATAGAAATCGAAAAATGGCTAAAGAAAAGTCCAAGAAATGTTGTTGTTTTGGAATGTTCCGCTTTGTATGGTTCCGAGTTCCTCTATGTGGAATTATCAAGAATGTTTAATACATGTATTCATGTTAAGGATTACGTGTATGAAAGCTATTATTGTATCGCAGATATAGCAGATTCTATTACAAATAATCCACAGGCTACACGTATACATGCATGTATGAATAAGCTCGATCGTTCAGGTTTGAAATGTTGTAGTAACATCTTAGAAAGAGACATCTTAACTATTATACCATCTGCACAAAAGTGGAAGGGAAAAGAAACAAATATAATTGGGGAATGGGATAATACTAGGGAAAGGACATTTAATGTATGTTATTCTACACATGCATCTTTTGAAGAACTTAAGAGGTTTATACAATATTTCAACCCAGAAGAAATATATCCCTGTGTTTGTTCAGAAGAACAGAAATCTATGATATATTATCAGTTACATAAGATTAAAAGAGAGATAAAAGAGAACGATACAATTAATAATCATAAGAAATATACATTACAAGTCCTTAGGAATATCTGAAGTTATAAATAAATCAGAAATTAAATATTATTACTTCAATAGTTTTCTCTAATGATTGTGTTAATCTTTAATAATTTTATATTATATTATCATATATATTGATGATACATTGTTATATTATATTTAAATAATTTTGTATTTTTACATAATAAATTGAACATTTTATTAATTTATATCTTTATTGTCTTTTAAACTAATTTTATTAAATACAAAGTGTAAAGAATTAATAGTATAAAGAATATTTAAAGAATAGTTGAAGAATATTTTTATATAAATTAAATTTTTTTTATGTTTTTATCTTCTTTACAGAAATTTATAGCATTTTACTTAACAAAAATAAACTAAAACAATGGCAACTGTTACATTGGCAACTGCTGCACTGGCTAAGGAAAAAGTATGGTTTGATAAACCATCCTACGACAAAGCAGAACGACAATATTTTGAAAAAATGGCTAAGGTAAAAAATACTTATTATCTATTACTCAATTAAATAGTTGTGATAGTGAGATAAAGTGAAAATATTCAAATGTTTCATGCATATATACATGCACATGTATGTATGCATAATATATATTCTCAAAAGATATAAATAGAAAATAGTATGTATGTATCTGAAAAATTGTAGTTATTAAAAACGGACAAATTATAAAAAATCGACACCAAAATTTATTAAATGATTATATGTACGTCTGTTTTTTAAGTTTAATTATAATTTTCTAAATTTTTCAATACAATTACAAATTTAAGATAACACACTTTTCTATTTATATTTTATGAAAATATACTTATAATTCTCTTATCAAATGAATTTATTCTTAAATTTACTAGTCCTAATCATAGCATTTAAAGTTAATATAACATTTGTCATTTTCTTATATTTGCAGTATTATTTTATCTATAAGTATCTACTAACACATTCACATTTTTAACACATGCGGGAATATCTGGTATTAACAAAATTATTTTTACTGTCTATTCATGTTTTCATTCATGCTTGTCGAGAAAAATACTATATAGTGAGAATGTTATATGCTTCCCTGATTCCAGATCTTATAAACTTATCTACATGTTTGTAACATAAAACAAGCTGATAAAGTACTAATGATTAATAATGGTAGCCTATTGATATCATAAGTCATGTTTCTTTCATATTTCTTAATTTAACACACTTCTCACAATTATTATAAAATTATGTACATCATATAATATATAATATTTATATGTTCTATTTTTAAACATTATATATTACATAAAAGTTAATTTAATTATAAATAATACTATAATAAGTATTTTACATATTGATTTTTATGGAAGAAAAGATTGTATTTACCTCTTATTTATTTAATATATGATCTGCATAGTTTGGAATATATATTTCAAGGTAATGTCTTGTAAGATTGCGGAAGCCTGCATGCTTAAGATTGACAGTTCTATAACTGAAAAGTGTCAAGATCTAATCAATACTAACACAATGAAATTTAAGGCTGAAAAATTCAAAGACAACAAGTTAGCTATTGAGATCGAATTAAACATGAAACGTTCTAAATGTCAAAAAAGAAATATAAAAGCTAATAAACAAACTATAGATGCATATAACACGCAAAATAAGGAAAACATAAAAACAAGTGAAAAATCCGACGCAAAAGATAACACGAAGGAAAAAGAAATCGCTTTTCCAAGCGAGAATTCTATAAAATATAACGCGAAAGAAACAAAAGAAAAAAGAAACAAAGAAGATACAAAAAATAGAAATAGGGGAAGTAAAGATGATATTGGAGGAAATAAAGAAACTGCAATGCCATTCATGAGGAGTAAAGAACAATTTTCTGATCAGGTACATGTTCTAATGTATAATTCGTTTACTATTTAGTGTATATCGATATAGAGATAATTGTACTTGATTAATTTTATTTTTCCACGCTTTTATTTTCCCTTTTTTCTTTTATATATAGAAGTAAAAAGTTTTTATATTTTTTAATCAGAAGAATGGCATTTTTGTTTCTTTGTTTTATTTTATATTTTTATTTTGTATATATTAAGAATTCTTCTTTCTTTATATAATAATATCTTATAAAACGAAATATCAACAGCATATCAACAATATGACAGCAAATTCAATCATGATTTTATAATAGATCTTATCTACTCTGTCCGCAATTGTTTATTTTCTATCAACATAAATTACTGGCATAGTAAGAACAAAAATTAAGAATTGTCTATCATCATAGCATGTCGGTAAAAATAGCAAATATTAATCGAAGTATGTTATATTATGGATGATAAAAATATATTAAAATACATTTTGCTGTCACAATGTAAAAACACAGAAATTGAGAATAGTTTGCTGTCACAAACAACAAAACATGGTAAAGACAAAATATACTTAATAAAATTATATATGTATTAATATAAATGCAATAAAATTAAATATCATAGATATTAAATAAATTGGTAAGTTTACCAAATACTTATAATTTTTCAGTCATAGTGTGTAATGTAACATATGTTATATTGTATATTCTATACAATATAAATAATTGGCTTAATTTAATAATTAATAAATTAATAACACATTTTAACAATTAGTTTAATAATATATGACCTTATATTAATATGATCTTGAACGTTACCACATAAAGATTAGTTTGAAATTTTTAAATGAAACTTCCTATTTTTTATTAGATATTCTTGTAGCTATCTCGAAAATTTTTAAAAACACCACAATAAAGTATTTTTTATTAATAAATTATTAAAGTACTTTTCGAATTACCAGACTTGAAATAATTTCTTAATTTTATATATAAACTAAAATTTCTCGCAAAATATTTATTTTTTGGTGATTATCTCAATACTTTTATGCTTAAAATAATGACAGGAATTAATTGATATAAAAACATAGTTATTTTTAAGAAAAATAGAACTGTTAATTACAAATTACATACGTACTTTTCAATACGTTTCACACGAAATTTGTCATGGCATATTAATTTATGAATGATGGTTTATTCTTTTTTATTATTACTTTTTTGTTACTGATCTTACTACTGTGAATTATCTACATTGTTTCAATCACCTTGTGATTTATGACTCAACTTTTATGCACTTACATATTGTCAACGTTTATGATAGACCATGTTACACTCTTGTGGTGTTTTTGTTGTTATGAAAACATATACTTTCTTTGCCATTATTATCCAATGCCATCAAATCTTGATAAGTCTCAGATTCTATTCGATGTTTTCTATATATTTGCTGCCATGACATGATAATCAATTTTTTTCTATTGTATATTATATTAGCAAGCTGTATCTATATCTGTCGAAAACTAAGTTTTAATAAGGAGGCATCATAATTGAAAATTGTGAAATCATGATTGAATTTGTGGCATACTGCTAATATTTTGCTATTTAGGTACATACACAATTGCCTAGATATATCTGCAATAATTATATAATGGCAGTGTCTCCATTTTTAATTGATTATATTTTCATATCATATTTTCAATTCTTCGTGCAAAAGTATATATTTATTGAAATACATGACAAAAAGTAAGTCATATTTATTATTTCGAAAACGTTTCAATAAGTCTAAGAATATGCAATATAGAAAATATGAATTTTAATTCAAAAATCGAAAGTAATCTTGATGTTTCTTCTTGAAATCATTTTAGTCATTATTTTATATTCCTTTCAAAATCCAGCAGCTTTTCTTTAAACAGTATTTAAAAAATTTGCTAAAACATAATTTTTAATTATTCCATAATTTTTAATTATTCAGAATTTAATTATTAGAAATTATTGGTAAAAAAATTATTCTATATTTATTCTATACAAAAACAGTTACAATACTTAGCCTATATATTTGTAATAAAATTTTACTAAACTCTAAGTAATTCATTATTTTTATTATTTTTATTAGATTTTCTAACATCATCTGCTCTTAAATAGTTTATTAAAACAAAAATTAATAATACAATTGATATTCTATTGACACAATCGATTAATCATATATCAATGGATAATATTAAGTTACTACTATTACTATTTCTCTATATAATTATATAATTATAGAAAGTCTCTCTAATAAAAGTCTACACATTGGCGACTTTTCGCTAATTGATCAAAAGATTATAAGAACGAAAATTGCGAAATTAATTAAAAGTTATTATATTTGGTGCCATTATTTAAAATGTTTAATAGTAATTAAGAAAATATAAAAGAAACATTTAGTAAAAATTTTTTACTTATTTAAGAAATTTTATTAAAGAATTTTTATAAATTTTTCAAATCTTTGCAAGATTAAAAAACGTTTTTTATAATAAAAATATTAATAGAAAGAAAAAGCTACACAAGGTATTTAATAATAAATATTCAGAAATATTTAAGTTTAAAATTTGTTATAAAGCTAAATATGCTTCTTATATAAACTTACCCAATTTCGCCGTTTCTTAGACAAGCATATATCTGCAAATCACACATCGACTAGTGTGCATGACTCATATTCTCGACACAAAATGGATGTATATTTATATAGAAAAATGTTAAAAAAGTGATATTTATTTAGCATCGCAGAAAAAAATGATTTAGGGGATTTATGGCTCATTTTTCACTAAGAAATAATACTGCATAATTCATAAACGCGAATAATGATATACTCTATATGGACACATGTACACGCGCTCATACTCGTAGGATGTTCCATTTTATTGGAAACAGCTGTATATCTTTTAAATTTGACGTCATAAAAGAAAATGTTTCCAAAAATATCTAAAGAATTCATAGGAAGAAATAAATTGATAATTTTATATGACCTTGAAAAATTTAATCTTTTTTAGAATCATTTTAATTCTTTTTTTTAATAAATCAATCTTCGCAATATTTGGCGTAAAAAGTTATAAAAGTAAAATGACCAAAAATTAAGTAGACGAGATTATATATTTTAATTTAACATAATTAGACATAAACTATAAAGTGTCTCATAAAATATTAATTCTTTCATTATTATTTTATATGTAAAACAATGAAAGAAATCAAATAGTGCAAAAAAAATATATAATTGTTTTTAAGAAAAAGTACGTAATTTTTACAATAAACAGCTATATTAATACTTACAATTAAAATATTAAACAAAAGTAGGCTTTATTATAACGTTTTTTGAAAACATTTCAATATCAACTTTAAAAATATATAATAAAAAATGAAAATTTTAAAAGTTTAAATAATTTTAACATAATCTTTAAAAGACGTAAAATTATAATCAGTATCATATTAACTCAGTCATTCTTAAAACCAAGAGTAAATGTTTATTTTAAGTTACCCAACACGAATAATTTTTATTTCGATATATATTGTAGAGGCTACATTCTTAAATAATATACCGTTGTGACACTCTCTTTTGGTTCCTAAGATATGACTAATAAATATGAAATTTCAAAATTGCATATTTCAGAAACCAAAAAGAAGCATCACAAAATTCAAACGTATTACTTAGGAATGTACAATATGTTGAAATGAAAATTATTCACACTGTAGTAAACATTTGCCAAACCAACTTTTGCTTCAAATATTTTTTTCTTTTAAATCATATTTTTTATTTATATATACTCACAATCTTTTGCGTATGTACGTAATAAAATTAATAAAATTAAAAATGAAATTTAATAAATATTTTTATAAAAAAATGTTTTTTTTAAAATATCAACACTATTTTTAATTTAGTTACATTACATTAATTTTTATTAAGAAAGAAAAATAAAAAAAAAGAAAATGTCTGAAGAAATAAGAAAGAAATATTTCAATATTTGTTTGCGTAATTGTGCATTTTATATATTTGCATCTGCCATTTTTGTTAATGCAAACGTCGTGGAGATATGGCATGTAATTATTTTGAAATAATCAATCTGTGGTGTGAGAGCTTATCCTTTAATCTCAGTGGTGGATACAGGGAATTCAACAGTCTACTTGCCCAATCTTGCCTGCTGTTGGAAGTTTAGCCAATGAAGTCGCCAAGGCTCGGCAGCATATTAAACAGTCTTTAGAGTGTGTGAGTACTGCACTGTCCTTGCTTATCCTTTATGTAATTTTCATAGCTTACTAATTTAATATTTTATGTTATTATAAAAATTCATTTTTCTATCTTTCATTGCTTTTTAAATACTTTAGAACGTAAAATTGATACATATAAGAAAGATTTTTATGTAAAAGATTAAAATAATTACGTTAAATGTCTTATCCAGATAGCCAAATCTGACAAGAGCATGTATCACAGGTGTGTGCCACATATTACGTTGGCAAAATTCTGGCAGCAGCCGAGAATAATCTGCCGTTTTAAATAATATCGGCAAAAATGCAGCAAGAAACAAGTACTTAATATCCCTGCGTCATGATATGCTAAAAAATTAAAAGTGGATGTTTTCGATATAAAAATAATAGAATTTATATATTACATGTTAGCATAATATGTAAATAGAAACTAAATCAATTAAGCATAACATAACATTACACTACAGTGACAGAATATCATCAAAAATCGAGTATGCACTGTTATCTCAAAAGATAGAAACAAGATAGAACAAGAAAAGAAAAAAACAACATGGAGTTTTATCATTATAAAATAATGGCAGTAACATAGCACTATTATAAGATATGTTATATCTCGTTATGATTCTTTTGATTATCGCTATGCGACGTGTACCTGTCTCGTATTTAAATTTCTGTCGAATATGAAAACTGTAAAACACGACTATAGTAAGATTGATAAGATAATAAGGTAAAACTGCATATTAGCGACTACCTCACTAATTTCTTATATTAAAATATAACTACAATATAAATATGTTATATTACATATCACATTTCCCGTACGATGTAGCTGCAATGTTCTGTGCTGTATGAATTATGACTAAATTAACTGACTGATTTATTGGTAATATTTACAATATCTCTCTCTCTCTTTAATATTTAAATTATGATAGGTCATGTTACATTTTTTGTGTATTTTTACTGTTACAACGATAGCACATTATATTTGATTTTTGCTGTCTCTCTGCCATTGATTTTGGTAAATTATGGCAAATTCTTCTCGATATTTGCTGCTTTATCATGACAACAGATAATTTTCGATTTTTATTCTATTTTTGTTTTTCTGTTGTACATAACAATGTATGTTGGTAGAAAATAAATAATTACAGATATAATGGATAGGAATCTACTGCATGATTGGATCTGCTGTCATATTGTCATACTGATATTCTTCTGGCATTTTGCTATCTGGATTAATTATATAAAAATATCTATTGTATATATTAAATATATAAGCTATATCATGTAAAGTGTTATATAAGGTGTTTTTGAAATTATACAAAGTAACAAAAAGATACTTTTTTGCGAAAAAATACTTATTTATGTTTTAAGATTTTTCAAATGATAGATAGGATATCACCATCAATCTCTCATAAGTAAAAAAGTCAATATACTTCATTTTTTAAAATACAGCTTAATATTACATTTATTCAAAACTGTTTTTAAACATCAATTTTTTTGCATTTGTCTGATTAATAATACATTTATGTCGTATAATGAAATTTGTCAAATATGAAAAAAAATAAATGTTAAAAGAGATTTGAATAAGTTATAAATTAAAAATTATAAAATAAATTAAATAAATTAAAAAAGATCTACTAAATAAAAAGTGCAAAACTTTATATAATATTCCTTTAAAAAAATGAAATATCTCCTTTTTTTAAAAGAGATTGATGGCAAGAATACAAGTATAATGTCTATTACTTGAAAGATCATAATGAAACATAAAAACTTGTTATCTTTAATATTTTTAGTGAAAATATTTTGTAATACTTCATACAATATCTGTACACACACACACACACACACATACAAAATATAAAATTAACATTAAACTTTATAAATTCCATGCTAAAACTATGACTATGTAATGACATAATCATATTATATTTTTACTTGCTTTGTTAATTGTTGTGTTAATTGCATTATAATTTTTGTCAGATATATAGTACATAATTTTCAAAATATTGAATTGTATTTTTTTAGATGGACGATATTGCAGTACTTGCTCATATCGCAAATCAAGATGTTACACCTCGTGTTGTCAAACTTGAAAAAGAAAATCAGGATCTGCGAAATAGTATGTATACGTAATTATATTTTTATATCTAATATGTATTATTTTAATTATAACATATATACATACATATATATATATATATATATATATATATATATATATACATATATATGTTATATAAAATAATAATGAATTATAATTAAAAATAACCGAAAATGTGTAAGTAATAATTTAATATTTGTTATATTTATTAAAGAGAATCTTTGATATTTTTTATACAAAATGCTTCTAGAGTAAAGATGTAAGTATTTGATAATAGATAGATATATAATATATATATATATATATATATATATATATATATATATATATATATAGATTCTCAATAATCTTTATATATATTATTAAGATTATAAATAAAATTATAATTGATATATATTATTAAGATTATAATTCTTAATAACATTAAGAAGAACTCAAACTTAATTTCAACTTTTATATTAGAAATATATTTAGATTAGAGATTAAATTTTTTCAAAGTAGGGTTACAGAAAGAGGGGTGAAATCCTATGGACTCAGTTTAAGCTCAGTTTAAAAATATATTGTTAGAATAATGCTTTTTTACAAGTTTCCCTGTTTGATATCTATGTGTTATATAAATTTTTTATACATTTAAAAAACAAATATAAACTGTGTTGTACTTTACTAAATCACTATTTTATTACTAACAATACAAATGTTTACATAGGTTTTAGATCTTAATCCGCTTAGATCCCATAATAAAAGCAAAGCATAATTATCATATTATTTTATCTTTAAAGTTCAGAAAAATAGCTGAGTAACAATAAATAGATAATCGTCCCCTTGTTAATCATTCATATCAGTGTATAAATGATATATTATTAAAGACTGAAAATCTCATTTGTCAATTGACAAACCTCGCGCGGTACTGCATTTATGTAGATTTTTGTATTATTGGTTACAAAATCGTTATTTAATAGAATAAAACATTCGTTTATTATTTTTAGAACAAATGAAATGTTATAAAAGTTAAAAGTAATTAAAGAAATAAAGTGTTATATAAAGATATAAAGATTAATTAATGCCAAAAAACCTCCTAAATTATCATGATATTTCTTAATATATATCAATAAACAATTTTAAAATTTATGATAAATATAATTATAATGATAAAGAATAATAGAGAATGGTAAAGATTATATATGTATATAATAGTAAATATATAATTGAAAAAATCTATAAGTCTTAAAAGATTTTTTAAATAAATATTTTTTTAATAGTGATTCAAGATCTGCACAGTTCCTTCGAGAAATTGTTACAACATGTGAAAAGTTTTGAAACATTGGAACAACGCGTGGAAAGTCTTGAAGTACGCATGCCCTATTTAGCAATTTGTCCTGCGAAACTCACGGAATCGTCGGATGCAGAGCAAGAATCAGAGCATGACAAACATCAGAAGCAAGACAAAGAAAAAGATGATGATAATGAAGATATTGATCTGTTTGGTTCAGATTCAGAGGCAAGTGAACAAAAATAGTATCAAAAACGATATTAATAGGTCTATTTAGGGCGAATATTAAAGTTTAATTTTATATGACATAAATAATTGAATACACATCACTTACTGATATTTCATAATTAATACGAATTTTAGGAAACATGCGAATATATATTCGCATGTGACATTTATTATTTAACATACACCAGATATTCCCATAATACTGAATTAATACTTAATTTCATGCTAAGTTTACATGTTATCAGTACACTTTAGTTTAATACTCGTATACTTAGGAAAATTGAAAAAAGAACTTTTTGTAGATATTATACTGAATGAAAACTTCTATATATTATACTAGACTGCAACAGGATAATAATCGTAAGGTAGTCATATCAATTAGGCAAATATATAAGTTGAACAGCCAATATGTTATAAGTCATTGGCTTCAAGTTCTTATTTCTGTATGTGCATTATATATATTTGATATTTTTTATTATTTTATTTTTACTTTAAAATGTACATTTACTATATCTTATCAAGAGAAATAACAAAAATTCTGATCAATTAAAATAGCTACATCACATTTCACCATATGATCTCTTTATACAAGTTCTTAGTTCAGTATAATATATAAAAAATCTATGAATAAAAATTAAGCTAAAAATATTAACTGAAATATCTAATGATCGTACTCACAGCATAGTAACTTTGTTCTAAGGAAGTGTGAATAAAATTTTGTCTAAAATTTTGAATATTAATATATTCTTCTCAAGAATAGAATGGAAGTCCTGCACTTTTATATGTAAACATTCATAAAGATGAATGTTATTTATTCGACGATATTGTTTCATACATTTATTTTCACATTTCCTACATCACTAGACTTAGGGAATACATGATCTAAGATTTTATATCTTTTGCAGGCGAGGGGAGTGAGTAATATTAATATATATGTATTAAATTCTCTTTCTTGCACATAATCAACAATCGACAATTATTTCTGTTGCTTATAGTCTGAGTATAAATGTGTTTCAAGGCAATATGTCTGTAAGGAAGTCGATACTCAATCTCTCTCTGTTCATTACCTAGAATTTATTACCTACTTGGCAGAGATTGATTTATTATTAGTAGCTTTCTCTGTGGTTCATCCTAAATTCCAAAGCGATCGTTTATGCCTGACCCTTTATATTTATGTACTATACATCCACGTTTTTAAATCCTGTATGATTTGAATCTAATTCTGTGTGTCTAAGTCTTTTTTTTCTTAAATCTTTTGTCTACTAATATAGTTATATAAATATAATTTCTTTTATATCTTTATTATACATATATTTCTATTTTTCGCGAAAAAAATAAACCTTATCTAATAATTCGTTAGCAATTTTATGATGAGTTGGTGGTTTGGACGTAAAAGATTAACCATTTTTTTTTATTTCTTTGTATTCTATACGTGCGCATGCGTATGTGTACGATGATATTTACTGATGTAGATGTGTATACATGATATAAGGATGTATATACATTTTGTATGTACACACCAAAGAAATGTAAATCCAAAACTATTCTAATGTGTAGCATAGATTACGTTATTGATGATATTTTAAGTTCAACAGTTTATAACTCAGAAAATTCTTAACAGAAGAAAATTTAATCCATTTCTAAAATACTATTTTAGAAACATTTCAATATAAAAGCTAAAAAAAATTTTTAGTTAAAAATAAAAATCTTCAATTAAAAACTTCAAGATGATTTTCTATGACTTTATATGATTTTGACAATATTATCCAAGGTTGTATTAATGTTATCATATGTGTATTGGTCAAAATCCTACAATTTTTATATGGAACATTTTTTCTACAATCTATGGTTTTCAAAATATAAAGCATTTTTTTTGTATATTTTTTTATATATCCCTTTGTATAATATATATACGTATATTATATATATATTGACAAAAATTGTACTCATTGCACACTAATTATGTTATCTTAAATGTTTTATAAAAGATACTATTTTTCTTATCTGAGATACAGATAAAGATATACTTCAATTATATAGATAAAAGATAAAATAAATAATAATCGCACATGTAGATGAAAATTTAGATAATTTTTATCAAGATAACGGAAAAAACACTGACTGTGAGATATACGATAACTTAGATATTCTCAGATGAATAAGTCACATAAATATACATTCATCTCGCTATTGCTACGCGTAATTTGGCATGAGACATTCTATCTTTTGATTCTAGACTTATCTTTCCCAACAAATTTTTCATAATGTTCTTTTTTCAATATCTATGAATGCATTCTCACATTTATATAAATCTAGTACATACATCTTTCTTCGTGATTTATTAATTTACTTTTTAATTATTATTGTTTTGAATAAAAGCTTTTACTGTATTTTTAGGGAGAAGATACAGAAGCTGCTAAAATTAGAGAAGAGCGACTTGCTGAATATGCTGCCAAAAAGTCTAAAAGTATGTAATATAACAAATTAAAAAGATAAGGCTATAAATATGAAATACATAAATACAAATATCGCGTTGACTATAAAAGTCAGACATGGATGGTCGTGCATCAATTCCACAGAAAATTAATTTTTCTATAAAACTAATTAATATGTATAAAGCACGAATTCATATCCTGTACACACTAAGTAGTTTCATTGAAAAATTAATTTTTTCTTAAACTGATATATGACTATCCATGTCAGGTTCTTATAGCTCGCGATATTTATATATATGTAACATAAATCAATTTTCAAAATACATGATTATTGATCAAATTTTCAAACTACATGATTATTGATTTTTATATCACAGAACCAGTTTTAATAGCCAAATCAAACATTATCTTGGATGTGAAACCATGGGATGATGAAACGGACATGAAAGAAATGGAAAATGCAGTGCGAAAGATCGAAACTGATGGTCTTCTTTGGGGTGCTTGTAAGTTTTTTCATTATTTAATATCACATGCGAACAGTGCAATTGATATGTACTTATCTTTTGTAGCCAAACTTGTACCGCTTGCCTATGGAATTCACAAGCTACAGATTTCGTGTGTTGTGGAAGATGACAAAGTATCAGTGGATTGGTTGGTAGAACAAATTCAAGAACTCGAAGATTATGTGCAAAGTGTTGATATTGCAGCTTTTAATAAAGTGTAAAAAATTTGAATGAGTTAAATTATAAAAATTGTATGGCGATATTGAAGAAAATAAGCAAAAGTTGTGCCATTTCTGCATTCCATTAATAGTATTTGTATTTGGAAATTATCTTATATATATTATTAGACCAAATAATGATATTAGAAGAAAATTCAATATTTATCAGTTTAGGTATTTAAAAGTTGAACAGAATATATAACAAATTTAATTAAATAAATGAATAAAATAATGCACTATGATATTTGATAGTATTTTAAATATCAAAGTTAAATCCATTTTTTTTCTAGATTTTTCTTTTTTATCTTTTTCATTTATATATATTTCAAAAATTGCAGCAAATTATATAAAAATAAAATTATTTAATTATCATTTTTTTCTCATGTTATCTTAAATAAGAAAATATTTGTTGAATAAAATTTATATGATTCTTTTATGCATTCGCGCATATGTGTACTTAAAATCCTGTTGTCAAAGTTGCACTATTGTATGACATTAAGCTATCATATGTATACATATATATGTACATGCATGCATTCGTCAGCCTATATTTTTTAATACACTGAAAAAAGTACGTTCAAATAATCTTTTTTTTCAATACTGAATAAGGCAAGAAACTTACATACAATTTTATTTTTCTATACAATTAACATTACAATTGTTTAGTGAGTGTTTACGATATTTTGAAGAATATTTTTGCAAAATATTATAAAACTTTGAAATTGAATGTTTACATTTTGGAAATTTGAATTCTTGATGTGACAAAATGAAGGAGCATGAATATAAGCGTATTTTTTTATTTAATTAAATTTTATTATATATAATTGCATTTTATTTTTAATTTTGAGGTCAAAACATTTTGATAATTTTAGAACGGATAGAGAGAGAGAAAGAGAGAAAATTTTAAGATATAAGTTTATAAAAATTATCTTTTGAACAGGATCTTTTGTTCATTCTTAATCTTCACAAGATAAAATTTTTATTTTTGTATTTTCTAAAAGCATGTCTGAAGAATACATCTTACAAATTTTATTGAAAAAAAACTTATAAGATTAATTGTAAGAGTGAATAAAATAGCACAAGAGGCTTCGAATGGATCAAGATTTAGCACAGTTTTTTCAAAACAAATTAAAGGTATAATGGGAATGGGTAACTAATAGATCGAATAATTAATTTTTTTTTAATTTAAAAAAAACACTTGAATACTAAACAAAAGATATTACGTAATCAAAAAATAAATTGATATTTTTATTTTTAGTCACGTGGTGTCTTTTGACGCTAGAAAATAAGCATCGAATGTCAAATGAAAATTCACCCTATTCTGGTATGTATAGAGTTCATGGTTATGCTCCATAAATTTCGGTGAAAACTAGACCATAGATCATAAATGCGCATGCGCGAAAAAAGGAGTTTGTCTATCAACATTTCAAGGATTGAGAGAAATTTAAGAATTTTACATATGAAGGAATTGGAAAAAAGACGAAAAAGTGCGAATGTCCATGACTGTTTTCAGAATTATTCTGAATTGAATAATTATTCCAAGGCTTTAATTTGAAGTGTAAACACAATTGAATTGAATACAAAAATCTATAATTGATATTTTACACATAAATATCGAAAATGAAAAAACAACGATTATTATTATAATGCAGAGAGAGAAATTACTTTTATGTCCTTTTTTGGACTAATAAATATATTTTTATCAGAGATTTTGATTCTATAATTTTAGCAGCAAAGTATGACATGTAGGACTCTGCCAATATTGGTAGTAATGAAGCTGCACATATAGTAATGAAGCTACACATATGCTTGATATACATTCTTTTATTATTATTTAATATCCTTTTTGTATCAAGCCATAATAATTTGAACGATAACTTTGAAAAATATGATAATGTTACCATCAAATCTTCACTGTATGATGTACCTCTATCTTCAAGTACTTCCTGCTGTGATATGCAGGAGATAAAAGTTATATTTGCTTCCAACATAGTCGAGAATGAATACATAGTTAAATTTAAGAGTTATTACAAAGCAGATGTACGAGAGAATTACTTAAGAGCTGCATTAAAGCCATTTGATATTAAAAATTGGAAAATTATACCTCGTAACAATGCAGCATCCAAATATCCTAGCGATTTTGATATTGTGCATTTAAGAAAAATGGATCAATACGAAGCATTAAAAGCTCTAAATAACCATCCACTTATAAAAACAGTGACACCTCAAAGACTTATACATAGGACTTTAAAGTTTATTGACACAAATGATTCTCATGTCTTAGCATATAACAACTCCAAGGAAAAAATCAATGATTTTCCTTTCTCTCGTGTAAGTTGCAAAATCACAAGTATTTTGAAGAATGTTATATTAAATTGAGACGTATGTATGAAGTTTTAGTATTAACAGAAAAAAATTTCAGAAAATTCAACTTAGACAATCAACAAATCGACATACATCTAGGAAATTATTAAGAGTTATACCAAAACAAATTACAAACATACTTGAAGCTGATACATTATGGAAGATGGGCATTACTGGAAAGAATGTAAAAGTAGCAATATTTGACACTGGACTTGCTGCTAGTCATTCACATTTTAAGAACATCAAAGAAAGAATAAATTGGACAAATGAAAATACTCAAGAGGATGGTCTGGGTCATGGTACATTTGTAGCAGGTGTTATAGCATCATCTTCTAATGATTGTTTGGGTTTTGCTCCAGATGCAGAGCTTTATATTTTTCGCGTTTTTACGAATAATCAGGTATCTATTTTTTATACTTTTTTAATTTACATTTTATAAAATTTTATGTCATATTTATCAACAGGATTACATAAGATATTATGTAAACAAAATAATAGTAACATACAAATGTAGTTAACACTTGTATTGTTACATGTATATATAATAATAAATTATATTGTTATCTAATAATATTATTTTTAAATATCACAGGTATCTTATACTTCATGGTTTTTGGATGCATTTAATCATGCTATACTTCGTGAAGTGACAGTATTAAATCTAAGCATTGGTGGTCCAGACTTCATGGACCAACCATTTGTTGATAAAGTATGGGAGGTTACAGCTAATGGTATCATTATGATATCAGCAATTGGCAATGATGGACCTTTATATGGGTAAATAAAATACTATGACAGATCCTATCTCAAGGTATTTATAAAAAAATTAAAGAATCAAGAACTTGTATTATTAAACTTGTATTATTAAAAATGAAAATTGCTTCTATTTTCAAATAGTGATTTTGATCTTTATTGATCAAACATTTTTTACTCAGTTTAGTGAGTATTACATATACTCTGATAAGTGTCCTTCTTCTACTGATCTATATATTTAAAGTATGAATGTCGATTATATATATTTGTATGTTGTGCTATTTTATTTATATAGCACCTTAAATAATCCTGCCGATCAAATGGATGTGATTGGTGTAGGAGGCATTAATTGGGAAGATCAACTAGCGAGATTTTCTTCACGCGGTATGACTACATGGGAATTACCATATGGCTACGGTAGAGTCAAACCTGATCTTGTCACATATGGGTCAGGAGTAAGAGGGTCTGCTTTACAAAATGGATGTAGACCCCTTTCTGGTACTTCTGTTGCTAGTCCTGTTGTTGCTGGTGCAGTTGCATTATTAGCTAGTGCATTTGTACAAACAAACGAATCTAACGTTATGAAAAAGAAGGTGAATTTTTAACAGCTTTTCATATATAGAACATTATAAAATTACATTATAAAATTATAAAATAAAATTCTTATTGTATCCTACTTATATGTAATAATAATAAATATTTTAAGATAACACCAGCAAGTATGAAACAAGCATTGCTAAGTTCAGCCCGTCGGTTACCTGGAATTGGTATGTTCGAACAGGGAGCGGGGAAGCTAGATCTCCTACGAGCGTTTCGTTTTTTACAATCATATACACCTGTTGTTACACTTAATCCAAGGTAAATTTTTTTTAGATATAGGAAATACATTCTTCCTTGTCTATTTGATCTTATATTTAAATATTTTATGAACATCTTTAATTAATTATTGATATATACATATATGTAATTATTATGTGTGCATATGTAATTTTTTTTTCCAATAAAAATTATAAGTAAAAGTAATGTTAAAAAGTAATGTTTAAAAGTAATGTTAAAAGTAATGTTTTTGTATAAAACAATATTTTTGAAAAATGAACAATAAGTAAAGTAATACTATAAAATCTTGATTATCAATACAACAATAATTAATTTTTTGTTTTTGTTAAATGACTAGTTACATAGATTTGACAGAATGTCAATATATGTGGCCATACTGTACTCAAGCTATATACCACACTGGTATGCCAACCATAGTGAATATAACTATAATAAACGGTTTGGGTGTAGCTGGAAATATAGTAAATCTGACATGGCATCCATATATTGGTACTGGCAATGGTGAACGTATTGATGTTGCGATGACATATAGTGATGTGTTGTGGCCATGGTCAGGCTGGTTAGCAGTTGCTATAACGGTTCCATCAACATCTCACGACTGGCAAGGCATTGCACAAGGTTTATAATATTAATTTTATTTTTCTATTAAATCAATATATCTATTATATATATTATAATAGATTATGTTTCCAGGCCATATTTCACTCACAATTGAGAGCGACGGAGCAGGTAAATCACAACAATCAATGGTAAAACTTCCATTACAAGCAAAAATTATACCTACTCCTCCTAAACAGTAAGTACATATAATTTGTGTACTACATTTCTACAAACGAAGATGAATAAACAAAATTTTACAAATTGCAAAATTATAGAAGTCTGTTTTTCTCTCTCTCTCTTATTAATAAGTTACAATTTATTAATACTGATTATTTAGTAATTCTAATATAATCAATTTTAATTTTAAAGAGAGATAGATTATCATATATATATATATATATATATATATATATATATATATATATATACTGAATTAATAAATTATTACTAATTTCTATATAATATATAATTGATACATATACTATTATACAAAATTAACGCATAACTTTTTTTCATTTTTTCTTTAAAAACTGATATTTAAATTTTAAAGAAAAAGTGAAAAAAAATTATGCGTTAATTTTGTCCAAGAGTATATATTGTTATTTTTGAATGTATTGTATTACTCATGTGTGTGTGTGTGTGTTCTAATATTTAATTAATTATCCCTTCTTTTTCTCTCTCTATCTCTCTTTCTTTATGTATCTATCTCTTTTTTCTCCAGTAAACGTATTTTATGGGATCAGTACCATAATTTACGTTACCCACCCGGATATTTCCCCAGAGATGATTTGCGAGTAAAGAATGATCCACTTGATTGGAATGGAGATCATATACATACTAATTTTAAAGACATGTATCAACATTTACGTAATGCCGGATATTATCTCGAAGTGTTGGGCCATCCATTTACTTGTTTTGATGCAAAGAATTATGGTACTCTACTTATTGTAGATACAGAAGAAGAATTTTTTCCTGAAGAAGTATGCATTTATCAAAAGATTATATATATATATATATATATATATATATATATATATATATATTAGCGTTTTATGTACATGTGTGTATATATGTAAATATGTATATATAAGCATAACAGATTGTTTTTAACTGCAGGTAGCTAAATTAAAGCAAGATGTAGAAGATGATGGTCTTTCAGTAATTGTATTTGCAGACTGGTATAATACAGCAGTCATGCAAAAAATCAGATTCTATGATGAGAATACTCGTCGGTGGTGGATACCTGAGACAGGTGGTGCTAATATTCCAGCTATAAATGATCTTCTTTTTCCTAATTGGGGTATAGCATTTAGTGATGAAGTACGAAGTGGTCAGTTCACTCTTGGTCAACATCCGTCAGTTACATTCGCGTCTGGCACTACATTAATTAGGTAAAGAATTTTTGTATATAGAAAACAGTTTTTAAAAATTCTATATAGCAACAGTTTATATGTATCCTCAGATTCCCAAAAGATGGAATCATTCTATATGCAGAGTTACATGATCAAAGTCAAGAATTCTTGGAAAAAAAATCAGGGACATCCACACTTGTACCAATTCTTGGACTTTTACAAGTTACTAGCGAAAAAGATGTTCAACTAGTACATGATGATGGAAGTAATAATGAGATACCAGCAGATGAGAATGATGAAAAGAATTACATCAAAAAACAGACGAGTACTATGCCTGGTAGACTTGTTGTTTATGGAGATTCAAATTGTATTGATGACAGTCATTTACAACAGTGTATGTATTGCAAAACAAAATATTGATATTATAAAATATCAATATTTTAAAAATTTATTCATTTTTTAGAGAAATCTATAACTTTTTTTTATAAATATTTTATAAATTTTAAAATTTTATTAATTTTGCAATTTTTTATATAGTCTGAATATTTACTAAAATGTTATGTATAATTTTTAGCTTGTTTTTGGATGCTGGATGCTATTTTAGAATACACAACAACAGGTTACATACCTACTATTTTTATGAATGAAAATAAAAAAAAACACAAGACTGTTAAAACAACTAATGATATGAAGATTGGAAATTTACCACGTCGTATGGAAGGAAATCATTTTAGTTGTCATAGTAAAGTATTGGTGGCCAATAAGCCAATAGGCACTTTCCAACCTCTTCCTTTATGTCCGACACCTACTTATGCTGTACCAGTGTTAGTCAATGAATCTGTGCCAATGTAAGTTATTTTTATACTTTTTTCTTATTAATATAAATTTTTTAGACATTTATATTAATTTTGTGACCTATTCAAATTATTAAAGTTTATATTACATGTTTTTAAAATATAATATATATATATATATATATATATATATATATATATATATATATATATCGACACATACAAACATGTCGATCTAATTTCAAATATTTCACAAATGTATTGTATTTGTCAAATTTTTTATTCTAATCTTAACATTGGCAAATGCATATTAGATAAAAATTAATCAAAATATTTAGTAAGAGTAATTTTAATTATATTTTAATTGCTTTGTAATTATAATGCAAAGTAGTAGAAGTTAAATTTAAAAAAATAGACATTTATGCACAAATTCAGATTATTTATTATATTTATCAGAGTATTTATTTTATCATTATTGATTCTCTTCAGATTTTTACTGGTTCTATATATATTTGAATATTTTTATTTTTATAGAGATCTTTATAAACCCCAAAAGGTAATATCTATAGAAGACTCGATAAATGCAGTAAATTCAGGACTACAGGATAGTGAGATGAGGATGTGGCTTAAAAGAAGAGTTGGTGGTGCTAGTATTGCTAGTACTCCAGTGGAACATTCCGACATCGACAATATCGCTTATGATGTGATAGGAAATGAAGATAATCAAATAGTTGGATATCAATGGAAATATATAGCAATAGTGATTATTACAACAATATTTATTGTGTACCTATTAAATCGATGGAAATATTTGGGGACAAAGAGACATTCTTGCAGAAAACGTACAATTGTCAGAATACGTAGAATTATTCAAACTATTGCTATGCGTAGAATACCTGCACAAATGTAATTTCATAATTTTATAAGAACTACACTTTATATATAAAATATAATTATCATATTAATATAATTATTATATTAATATAATTATTAATATTTTAATTAGTAATATATAATTATATAATAATATATATAATAATATAATTATTAATATATTAATATTTTAATATATTAATATATTTAATAATTTATTAACATATAAATTTAATAATATAGTTTTAAAAATAACTAATAAAATATTTTCTAAACAATTATCTTAATTCTAAGAATCATACAAATTATTAAAATTTATATTATGTGCCTTTAAAACATATAACAATACAATGTAAATTTGTAGATAATATCATTATTTTGATAAAAATTGTATATTTACTTAATTTGCCTTTATTAACCTTTATCATAATAATACTTAATCACAATTAAAATTAAACATTTTATTTTTAAACTTACGAATCTCAAATTATTTCCACATATAATTATTTTTTAGTATTTTGAATAAAATAATTTTGAACTCGTATACATAATTAGTTATAAAATGGATTATAAGTAACCCAATGTGCTCTATCTTGATCTGCAGCAGATTTGTGAGAAGTAAAGATACTTTTGAAAACTTCTGATGCTTTAGGATCTTTTGCAATGCTATAATCACTTTTAGCTTTTCTATAAGCAGGATCATTAGCTTCAGTTTGATCATTACTGAGTTTAGGTATTACTTTGTCTTCTTTCTTTATCTTTTTCTTTAATGTTTCATCCAATTTTTTCTCTTCTATCGATTCATCATTGCCTAACTTTCTTTTTTTCTTTTGGTTAACTTTCCTAATCATTGCACGTTCCTTCATGTGTTCCAAATCATCATCTTCTGCATTTAATATGACTATATCCGTTTCTTCAAATGGTTGTTGACATTTGTGACATGACTATAAGAAATTAAAAAACTCTTGTTACACTTCAAACTTGTATTTAATTAGCGTTTCTCTACTTTATTAAATTTTTTACTTACCATACTTTTTATTTCTTTCAGGGCACGTTCACTCATCACACAACCACATGACCATAAGAAACAGAATTTGTATTTCCCATTCATCTCCAAACCAATGACTGGACAAATGTATGGACTTTTACCTCCATCTGTATAACCATCTCCTTTTTCAGCTTTGTTACCCTCAAATGCTGGATTTGGTGTCAAATTAAGATTTCTTACATCTTTTAAATTTTTAATATGTGTGGCAGATTCTGGAAGTGTATTGCGATCTAAAAGACCTTCTAACACAGATTCCTTGCTGTATAAGCGACCCAAACTGCAACCCACAATTGGTAATTGTAACGGCAATTGTCGTATTGTGCAATGCTTCCATTTGAAAGCCAACTCGGCTTGTTTGTCTTTCTGAAAATAATTATTAAATATCAATTAAATATTGTTTCTTCACAGATAATGTGTGTATGTGTGTACTTGCACATAATTTATACATATGTATATAAATATGCATGCGTAAATTATATTTAAGTATACTAACATATACACATATATATATATATATACATGTATATAAAGATATATATATATATATATATATATATATATACACGAGTATATATATATATATATATAAAATTACATATATACAAAAACAAAATAACTTGAAAAACATTAATAAATATTAGTGAGATATTAATTTTTTATTCATTTAATGCAAACATGATTATATCAAAAACTATAAAATTGGAGTCAAAGTCGAAAGACATTCGACAATATTAAAAATAAAAAGATTCACAATTTTAAATATTGACAATTCCATAAAAGCCTCTGCATGTAAATTAAATTATATCAATTTTTCTTACCTGTTCAGGTTTTCTTTTTACTCTAACGAGCTCGTCTCTGCGAGGAATAGTACCACCATCGCAACCCATGACAGTTTTTCTAATTTATGAGAGAGAAAAAGAATATATTCACAATTTTATATTATGAAAATGTAAAGAGCGATGCACAATTGATATAATATTGTAAAGAGAATATTGTAAAAAACTTGGCAACCAAAACACACAATGGACTCAGATGATACAGAAAATAGATAACCAACTCTTGTATTTCGCTTTTGACTAATGTTTTAAGCGCCATCTGCGTTTAAATACGTAAAACACATAAAATGGTGCATTCCGAATTAGTAGAAAATTTAAGGTGGCACCCGATTGACCACGTCGCCAATTGGCCAATTCAAAATAGGACTCTCTGATTGGTTAATTGTTGCTGGTTACCCTAGGCACAGGTCGATATAATTGGCTGTGGTCAATCGCAACGTGGTCAAACGGGACGCTCCCAAAATTTATACTGCGTCCGATTGGTCCTACTGGACTTTACTATTGGATGTAGAACAGTATAGTATATACGTTGAAAATGGCAATGTGAATCCTCCGTAAAAATTACACTAAAGGCCTTTGCACAATCCTAGACAACAGGTAATAGAAACAATTTATCAATAAAACACGTAATAGAAAATATTCACCAATAAAAGTAGAGAATAGATATTAATTTCTATTCTTACAGCTTGTTGCCTAGCATTGTGCAAAGACTTTAAGGATTGCATGTATGACTGATTGCGATCCTAAAGCTCTTGCACAATGCTAGGCAACAGGAAATAGAATAGAATTGATACTATTGAAATATGAATAAAATATTTTCTGTTCCTAACTTAAAACAGAATCAGCATAAAATTCAAAATAGAGAAAGAATTGAATTTTCATACTATGCGAGCTCTGGGCCCATATTCTGAATCCTCTTTCATCGATAAAAGTGGCATATAAACCTTCTGATTGGCTACAGGCCACTTTTAAAAGCCCTTTTATCGATAAAAGAGGATTCAGAATATGGACCCTAGTGAAGAAAATTAAGAATAAATTCAGTCCTATACATTCCAGAATCTAACTCTTATTCACTCTCTGCTGTGTTATATTTATACCATGCCATTCGTCGAGTTACGAATCAGCTGACAATATTCAGTTCGTGTAGTTAACGAATGAGACGCAAGCAGCAGCACATAATTGTCATCACGTGAGGAGTCACAATGTTTTCTGCTGATTTTGTCGTCGGCGAGCAGTATCATTCAGCGAGCGAGAAATTCTTGTAAAGTTCGAAAAGCGCCGATCTGGCAATTGGCCGAGTCAACGATATTGACGACAACGTAACGAATCTCCGAACGATTTCCCGCTGGTACGTTACATTACGTCCATTTTATCGTCGACGATCGTGCGTCGGTCTTTGTCAGGACTGTCAACTTAACTGTCAATTTTATCGGCATTAAATCAATTTAAAGTTATTTAATTTCACGTGAATTTTTTTCGCCGAAGCTTTTTCACGCATGTACGTGAAATAACTGTACATCGTTATATCGTTTCACCAACGTGTGCCTTATTATTGATTTCGAGAGAGCCGACGTCCACCGACGCCATTGAATTAATCCGAGACAACAGCTTTTTTTCGACATAATATCTCTCCTGTCAAATTTATTATACTAAGTAGTATAAAAATTCATGTAATACTTGCCACTCTTGGCGTCTTTCACATATACATTCTCGCGTGAACTGTTTTCTTTTTTTTTTTTTCTTTAACGTTGATATTGGCGGTAGATTGTTCAGCGCGCCATTCGTACGTACGGTGTGTCACGTGGAAAACACATCTAATTATATAACGTTAAGCAGATATTTATTCGTGCCACACCCCCTTTTTTTCTACGCTCGCCGCACGTTCAATAATTTGCAGAAATTTAATTTAGTTTGAATTTACGTATTTTTGTCTGATAATCATGCTTACTCCTCAGATGTATACTTGTGCCTTTGATATCTTGATAGGTGACAAACATGATAGTAGCAGGTGGTTGGGAAAAATCAGCTTGTGTTTATTGAGATTAATATATTTTTGTAATTATTTATTTCTTTAATATATTATTGTAACATATATAAGTTTTTAGGATCTACAATTACACACAAAAGCATATAATTTATTTAATTTTTTCAATTTTAATTGTACATGAATATATGTAAAATGATGTGTTTTACACATGTCAATATATATTAAAATATATAATATCTAAGAATTAATATAAAATATATAAAAAATGTGATAAAATATTATAACGATTAAAAGCAATTAATCAACATAACTTTTTACATAATATGTTATACTCATGTTATTATTTCTAAACATATTATTATAATAATATTACACTCTCTTATAGATACTTATTTCAATTTTTTATAGAAATACAATCTTTATTTTTTTATAAATATTTATAAAAGATAGAAAAGAAAATTATTATTGTATAATTTATGAAATTTACATTATTGTAACTATTTATACTTTTATGTATAGCTTACATATTTTAAAGTTATTGAAAATATATTGTTGTATTATTTTAGGTATATTGAAAAGTTATTTATAAAAAAGATATATTAGTTAAAATGACAGAATACTGGCTAATATCGGCACCAGGAGATAAAACCTGTCAGCAAACATGGGAAACTATGAACAATTTAACATCTAAGCAGCATTCTTTGTCAGTGAATTACAAATTTCACATTCCGGATCTAAAAGTTGGAACATTGGATCAATTAGTTGGCTTATCGGATGATCTTGGCAAACTTGATGGATATGTGGAGCAAGTTACACGTAAAGTGGCAACGTATCTGGGCGAAGTTTTGGAGGATCAGAGAGACAAATTGCATGAAAATTTGATGGCTAATAACAGTAAGTAAAAAAATATTTGTTGGCTTGTCACTTTTTGGACACTTTACTCTTTCAACAACAGTATCTGAAGAATATTATTTAAAAAAAATTAATTTATATATATTCATAAGGTGCTTCACAATTATCATATAATATTTTAATGCTTATTTTAAAAATAAAATAAATTTCTAATACAAAAATGTTAAGATTTCAAAAAGTGTTCAAGTTATAAGCTATTAAAGTGGCCAATATAACATAGAAATTGTAAATTCATACACATATATTGAGGTCTGACATTTATTATTGACTTTTCATTTTTTTATTGACCAACAATTTACATAACAATCACATAAGAAACAATAAATTAAAACTAGCTATGCTATAAAAATTAATATTAGTGGACTTATATTAATAACAGATGATTTCTACATATATAATGAAGTTAGAGACTTGAGTGTGTAGTTTTACACAATATTCTAATATTTATAATTAAAAAATTATTGACATCTTTGTATTAGAATTTTAAATTTTTCAATTATTTATTTTAAATTTATTTTATATTTAAAATATAATGTTAAAATATTATAAGATGGTTGTGACACAGCTTATATTTCTATTCTCTCTCTAGTGATCATTCTTTATTCTTAAAAAATGCTAAGTAATATTTAATAAATTCTATCTAAAAAATATTAATTATTGGAAATATATTATTATAATGTTGAAAGATATTATGTTGCATTTTATTCTAATTTTTAAATTATTGTATTATACAGGATAAAAGGATGTTGAATAGAGTAATACAAATTGACTGGGAAGTGTGATTCTATAGCAGAATTTAAATTTTCCATTCAATATATTAAATAAATGTGCATTGTGCATGTTCTCTGTTTGATTTAATGCACTTAAAAGAATTAGTTATAGAAATGTTATATATATTAGATAATATTATGCATACACATTATTACTGAAATGTTTTAAACTTTTACAAATATTGATCGATTTTCTATACATCAATTTCTTAAGATACTCTAAATTAGAAAAACATTGATCAACTAATGTACTAATGAATACTATACACAACACGAAACATGCACTATTTTAACTTGTCTTTTGTGTTTATAATTTCCATTGCTTATTAATTAAAATTGATTTAGATTTTATTTGATTTGTTAAAGATAGTATTTAGTTAAAGATAGTGAATTCAATTTTAGAGAATTTCCATCTATTTTAAAACTTTAGAATATATAAGCTATATATTCTAAATGCTATATATTCTAATATTATAAATGCCTTGAATTATTTGATTGATCAATCAGAACAAAAAATCGGAAAATTTTTTTATCCCATTTCAATTATTTAAAATTATAAAAAAATATTATAGTTATTTATTTTCATAGAACAAATTTCAATGATTTTACCTACATACATAAATAATGTACACACATAATAATAAACAATGTTACAGAACATTGTATGTTTTAATAGTTATTACAGACAAAATTTTCTTGCATATATATATATATATATATATATATATATATATATATATATATAATAAAATATATGTAATTATAAAGATATACAGATTCATATATGTGTATGTGCATACATACACGCAGCACACAGAATACATACACGCACATTCCATGCGCACATGTGCACACGCACGCACATATACTGATGTATATTTTAAATAATATTAATATTAATTATATTACATAATATTTAAAAGAGAACTCTAATTTTTCAGATATTACAAATATATTTTCAAAAAAAAATATAAAAAAGCGTCAAGTCCACGTATGTTAATTTAAAAAACTATTGTATAAAAAGATGAAAAGATAAAAAAATATTTTACACACATAAAAAGGCATTAATTATACATAGAAATATTATTTTATTGTCTATTATTTAAATCTGTCTTTCCTACAAAAAGTTATGACATAAAAGAAAATAAATGGAAATAAAAAATTATCTAAATTTTTATATATTTTTGTTGCAAAAGTTAAATAATAACGTCTTTTTAATGTATTAAACTAACATTTTTTATACAATAATTTTTTGAAGGAACGTGTGTAAACTTAACACTTTTTTCTTTTCTTGAAAAAATAATTTTTTTAAATTTATATTATTTTTTTAATGAGATTTACATATGAACTGTCTAATTGAAAATACTTTATTTTAGGATTTTATGTGAATTATTAGATCTTAATAATATGTAAAATTATCATTACATCATCATTTATTATTTCTAATAAGTTTGATGGCTTTAGTTTGTATTTTATAAGAAGAAGAAAAAGTTCTTCACGTTCAAAAACCAGTAAATCAAATTAAAAGACAAATACATTAGAATTTATTGCTAATTAATTGCTTGAAACTATTGCAAACATATTTTTAAAAAATTCAATTTTTATAGAAAGAGCATAACATACTATAAAAATAGTTGTTAAAATTAAAAAAAAAACAACAATGATTATGAGTTTGTTATAAAATTATTTTCTGAATTAATTACTTTAAAAAAAAGAAAAATATATCATTTTACAAATACAAAATTTATTGCATTAGTTGATTAAAAAAAACGAATCAAATGTGTCAGTGCTAGATTGCCTATAAGAATATACAGAGTGAAGCAATAATTTTGTCCACCTGGAATATCTGCGCTATTTTTAGAAATATGAAAAAATTGTAATTACGACAATTGTAAGGTATCAAGAAGACCATAATAAGCTAGTTACATTTTTTCCATAAGTGGAGGCATTTCAAACATTTCAAAGATTATCTTTATTTTTTGAATGGAACCATCCTAATTTTTTTCTATAAATTAATTGCTCACAATATTTCACGTAAGAAGTTATAAAGATATGATAGACAAAAATTGAATAGTTTATGATATATCTTATATTTTAAATTGATATAATTTTATATGAAGTATAAGACAATTTTAAAATAACTTTAAATAAAATATTCATTTTTTCATTATTTTATTTTAATACTTTTACGTATAGAATAAAGAGAGGAATCAATTTGTGTAAAAAAAGTATATAATTGTTTTTAAAAAAATGTATGAATTTGCAACGAGCCGCGATATATTTTTTCTTAAAAACAATTATGTGTTTTCTTTACATTAATTGATTCCTCTCGTTTTATTCTTGCATAAAATTATTAAGGTAAAATAATTGTAAAAAAATGAATATTTTATGAGATATTTTATACACACTTTTGTTTTAATACACGCACACACACACACTTTTGTGCACGCGCACGCATACACACACAAAATATATTAATGCAATTCTTTGCTATTATGGTTTTGATCTTAAAATATTCTTCAAATTAATTGCTTCAAGATATAGAAATTGTTGACTTGTAAAAAATACATCATGGATGTGTACAATACTAACTTGCCTATAAAAGTACATAAGGTATCCTATTTTAAAATATATGCTTAAATATATAAAAAATATTTTATTTTAGAAAATAATGTTTGAAATAAATATTTTGAGGAGATATAAAATAATAAAATCAGTTTAATTTTGCAGTTCCAAAGTTATATAAAGATGACATTGAAATTTGCCAATGAAAACCTTAACATTTTATAATAGATTCTTGCAATTGACGTCAAGATCACTACGGTTACTTGAATTTCCTGAGTTATGAGATATTATTAAATTAAGAACATTAATCGAATACAATATTAAATAAGACTACGAGTTAAATGCATATATTTTTTCCCTGGAACCCATGAAGCTATAAATACAACATTAAGCAAAGGAAACATGCTCTTATTTCACGACATAAATCGTGGTATTGCCACATATACATATTATACCTTTTGAAGGCAACATAATGTATATCTGACTGAGCAACTTGCTTACGATGTTACAGCATCAATGTTCCGTTTCCTTAGCGAGAGTTAGTTTATTTTTTGCTAATATCTATCCTTTGCTAATATATGAGAATTCTATGCATTAGCACTAATGTCGATAGTGCTTAAACTTTAATGTCTCATAACTCAAGCTTCTAAACGAAATTCAGCTTAACTATATTAATGATTTAAAAAAGTTCTGACATTAACTACAAGAATCTATGATATAAAATTAGAGTTTTCATTAAAAAATTTCAATGTGATCTTCATGGAATTGTCAGCAAAGTCAAACTTTATCATTTTATGTCTCTGTCAAAGGCTGCATTTTGATATAAACTGCCAATACTGAAAATCTATACATGACGTAAACTATAGATTTTCAATGAATATCTGGCAGTGAATATCAGAACACAGCCAAAATCAAACAACTTTTGTTCGAAGCATTTTTTTTTTTAATGGAATCTATCGTATCATTATATATACTACACTCTGTTTATTACTTTGAAGTCATGTAATGTTACATTTTGCTCATTTCGAAGATTATTACGTTGATAACTTACACAAGAAATGATGAGAAATTTTTTTCTTATGAAGTATGATTATTTACAATCAAGAGTGTGGCTAATTTGCCACCTTTAAAAATTTCTTGCGATTGCTTGCCCAGTATTTATAGTCCAGTCATTAACTGGCGATTATCATCTCTCTGAGATACTGTTGCTGTTTGTAGCGTGGATTTCTCTACGGCTGTCGACATTATATTCATTGAGTGCGATACCAACATAGCGTTATATACTTTATACTATATTATTACGTTAAAAATTACATAAAGTATAATTAAAATTAAGTATAATTAATTTAAATAGTTCAATAATGAGAGCAGGAGTTATCTGAAAAGCGAAAAACCTGATTCGGGTTTGATTCTTAATTCATTTACATATTTTTCTAGTTTTCATATATTGTTTTCTAGAGAGATTATTTGTTAAGTTAAAAAAAAATTTTTTTAAATGCTTTACATAGATCCGTACTTATCATACTTCTGTCCTAAATAGGTAATTACGTCTAGGTTTTTGTGCCACCCTCTATTACATATATCCCTACTTATTTAGAAGTAATCTGCTGGGATTTAAGAATAAATAATAAAATATAAATTTATAAA